TGGCATGCGTGCCAAACACATCCATTTATTTCAATTGCCCTATCTTCTGCTTCTATGTACCCATCAACCTTGTATTTTTCAGCTACCACATGTTCACCTCCTTCGGAATGGGCACTTTGAATTTGCACTCCTTTTGTCTCCTCGTACCATTGCAAATATTTCAGGGCTAGTTCACTTTGGTTATCACAATTTTCATAACCTTTTTCGGGTACAATTGCCAAATGATCAGGTTTCAAATGGTTTACCCGAAAATGTCTCATACAGGCCGACGCAATAGTCATTGCATCACGTAAAATATCTATTCCCTCTGCCTTTGTACCAGGAGCAGTATTTTTCTGCTTGCTTAATTCTGCGAATTTATTTTTGAAGGCAATTAACGCTTCTGTGAGTATTTGTACGTCATTCGTACAATATTCAGCCAAGGCTTCATCCAAACAAAATTGCTGATTTTTTTCTTTCTCATACCATTGATCAAATTCGTTTTGCTTTTCAGGTGACATTCCTCCATACAAATAATCATCTTTTGGAGGTAGTTTTTGCAGGATTCTTCCATAATTTTCGCGGATATTTGCCAGATGAGGGAAAAATTGTTTTTCAGTAACAAGAAGTCCAAATGCGCCAACTAACTTCCCCAAGGCGACTGGACAGAGATTAAATGAATCTCGAAATATAACCTCATTGCATTTCTTGTTACGTGGAATCTTTAATTCATAAAGTTTATTGCCGCGACGAATCATTGTCGGAACAACACCTTTCAAATAAATTTCTTTGAAAACCATAATCATATCGTATCGGCCTCCATTGTGTGAAAATGCCATAGTTAAATATTGAGGATTGAGTTCAAAAAGAATCCATTGAATAAAGTCTTTAAGTGGCTGCTGTGTGATGACTTGCTCATCAACTGTTGTTTGTTGAAATGGGCGATGTGAAAATGTGATTGATCGATTTGCTCCACAGATTATACAATTGTTCCCAGAATTTTTCAGTGAGGAACGCCATTTTTGCTCATCTTCCATACACTTTGTACAAGTTACTGTTGCGGCGATGAAGTTAACTTTATGAATTCGTCTTTCTTCATCTATGTTTACCTTAATCTTTTCATTTTGCGTTGCTTCAAAGTCAAATGTTACTAGACGGTATGGTGTTGATTTTTTAATTTCTAAAGGCTGAATAAAGCAACCTCTATCCATACTATGATATTGTAAGCAAGTTTGGCACCATTTCTGTCCACATACGTGTTTCCTTTGATTTCCTCTTTTGATATTCTTCATCGACCAGATTACACCACATTTCTCACATTGTTTTGTTTGACGACAGTTGCTACCTTTTTTATGGTGTTCAAAACAATCTTTGTTTAAGTATTTTTTCCCACATTCATCACATTCTTTGAAAAAGTCAGGTGTTGCCACACATGGTCTGTCTCCTCCTACACGCCCGCAGAGATGGCAACGCGATTTACATCTCATACTATGCTCCTTGTCCTTTCTAAAGCTCTTTTCGCAGGTAAAGCAATATTTTACTCTTAATCCAAACATTCCGCCAACATTTCTTAATCCATCGAAATGATTATTTGAGTAAAAAATTGAGATAGGGACATTGAAATTTTCACTTCCATATTTAAATTTAGGCTTCTCGTTTACACTTCCAAAAACAAATACTTTAAATTTATAACCTGTATCCTTGTATTGATTATTCCAAAAGTCGACAACAACAGGCACATATTCTACAGCATCATATTCAGGGAGATCTTGAGGGATTTTTGCAGCTTTTAACAGATCAAAAACATCCTTCATTTGCCGATGGTTATTTTGTAGATATCTACTAAAATTTCGTCTATCCCCCAATTCTTTAATCACATATTTTTTAGTAATTTCCAACGCATAGAATAAACACAGGTTGTTAGGATTGACAATTTTAATGAATAATTCATCCCTTAGTTGAGGAATTTTTGTTCTATTGCCTTGTGGTGCACTTCCTCTAATTGATTGATTTTTTGGAAGTGCTGAAATCCCTAACGTCTGGATTTTTATTGTGAATGGCTGACCATACAATGATCCCTTTTCTATTTTAGACTGAGAAACTAGCTGGAATCTGGTTAAAATGTTGTCTACTGTATCTTTTTCCAACTTTCTAATAGGTATCCATATTTCGTTATCAAGCAACTGTGAGGAGATTATAGCGCCTAATCGATCAGGTTCGACTGATTGATTCCTTGATTCCTCCACAGTTTGATCAATACACTCTTGAATAATTTCTCTTAACAACTCCTCTGGATTCTCAGGTACTTTTTCAATGATAAACTTCCCTGTTGTTGCCATCATTTTGAATTTTCGGTTAAATTCCGTTTCGTAGTCGATTTTTCGGTAATTATTTTTCAAATTTTTTGCCCCCTCACCGCTTTGGGTATTATTGAATAAATGGGGAAGTAGATTGCGGATGAGGAATCGCGGGCGTTTGTTCGCAGATGCCCCGTTTTGTCCATTGTTAAAAGACATTTTAGAATAGTTTAAATGTGAATTGCTTTGTTTTTGTTTTTATAATTCAAATGATTAAATAATTAAAAAAGAGGTGCTTTTATACTCCTCAGTTCAGAAATGTGGCACAATTAAGAAATATTTTCATGTCAAGGTCAAGAAAAATGTTATAGTTAAGCATGTATTTACGTAAAACTCATTAATCATTCATTGATCTTTTGAGTTAACTAAAATAAAAGGAAATTATTTTTATTCTTTTTATTTCAACAGTTTCAATCATTTTCAAGATGATTTTACTCCAAAACTTATAAATCATTTGGGTTTTAAAGGTAAAGATTCGGTAAAAGAAAAGTTTAAATTAAAAATTTGCTTTGGCTTATTTCATATTTCAAGGTCATTTGATCCTATAAAAATTTCAATAGGTTCAAGATTATTGCTTCCAAACCCCGACAATAACATGAAATTTTAAAGTAAATTTAAAACTCAATAGTCTTTTCGAAATTTTGAGATTTTAATAAATTTTAAGGTTTTAGAAAATTTCCACAAATATATGAGTTAAATTTTCATTAAAAGATATTTTTTGTAATTTTGGAATCTAATTAATTACTTATTTTCCCTCGATTCTTCTATACCACAATTTCTTCTATACCCCCCTAAAGATCAACATTTATTTATGTGATGATCCAAAGTAATTAATAAATTAAAGTTTTTTCTTCGTTTTGCATGTTAAATTTGATATTTCAAAAATTTTAAAAAAATCAAATAATTTTTGAAAATTATATGAAATCTTTTGTTAAAATTTTAAATTTATCATTTTCCTCATTTACCCTTATTTAATCAATATTTTTAGTTTTAAAAATTTTTACTTTTTTGAACTTTAATTTTTTAAATTTTTTTTGTGTATTTTAATTTAAAAATTTTAACTTGCTATTAAAAACTTCATGTTTTTCAAAAAATTTATATATTTCAAAAATTTTTTAATTTCCACAAACAAATGAAAAGAAAAATTTACTCTGAAAAGAGTTGATTTGAATTTTTACCGCAAATGACCTTGCGAGAATAAAAGCCAATATAATTATTTTCCTTTATTTAATTTCTTCCTCCAGCCCCCTGCGAAAAGTGAACGAGAAATACATAAATCGGATAAAAGTTTGATTGCTTTTAATACATCTCCTCGCCCAAAACAATAAGGTTAACAATATAGGAATAATGGTGAAGGTTCGATTTCGCTCAGAGATTTAATTATTTTAAAAATTTAATTAGTTTTTGTTCATTGATCAAAGATTTTACATGTTACAATTATCACATCTGTCACTTATCAATCTAATAAATATTTAACACTTGTACCTTGTCACATGTCAATCAATCAAAATCATTTATCAACTGTCACATGTAGTTGTATCTTGTCACAACAATGACAACAGAAGGTTACAGCAGAGAATAAAGATAAGTGTACCAAATCCTTAGGTTTCCCTTTGTTTTCCGCCAGTTCCTCTCAAATTTTCCACTGTGACATGTGGGAAAGAGAGAAACTAAATGGCGGAAACTTACATCACCTTCCCCTTTGATCCACTCATTCAGTCGCAAATCCCCTCAATCAAAAGGTTTCCTTTTGATTACCGCCAGTTTCTCTCAAATTCCCCACGGAGCATGTGGGACATCAGAGAAATTTAATAGCGCAAACTTCTACCCCTTTCCCCTTTGATCACCTTCATTCACCCGCAAATTTGCGTGTACTTGTACAAGAAAAGGAGTCTTTTTGTTTACCGCCAGTTCCCAAATTTCTCACTAGGACATGTGGGACAACAGAGAAATTTAGTTACAGTTAACTACCCCCACTTCCCCTTTGATCACCCCATTCAGCCGCAAAATTGTTTGTACTTGTTGTCAAGGTCATTTCCTTCCCTCCACCCATCGGTCCCACTGGGACGGATGGGAGCAGAAAACCCCTTACACCTTTACACATCCCCCTCTCTACGCCTCACATGTCCCATTGCGACATGTGGGCGTATGGGGGGGGTTTACTACTAAAAGGAGGAATTTTCTTCTTCAGAAGACGCATGGATTTTTATATAACCATAACTCTTTGAAGCCCTCTAAGCTTTTACTACCAGACTTTAGAACTCATCATAGTAATATATACTTGAAACGCTCATTTAGTTAAGTGCCTCTTCTCCAGCTGAAGAGACAATTAGCTGGAGCTTCTTTCTGCGAGTAACACTATGAGAATTTCAACTACATAAATCCTATAATATGTGCTATTCTGTCGAGCTCTCCATTAGAGAGTCCTTAATATAGCGCCTCCTTTTAGGAATTTATTAAGGTATCCTTCTAAGAGTTACAGATATGTGGCAGTTTACCCGATTTTTGCTTAAATTTGTCTGTGTTTTGTTAAAGTCTTTTGCTTCTCAAAAATATTTTAAAAAATTTTACGGTACGTATTCACTGCTTTGCTTGCTTTTTTTAACCTTTTACCTCGTTTTCTGATTTTCCTTAATTTTATAAAAATTTATTTTTAAAAATTAGATGAAGATTCACCACTTTTACAACTTCGAACCCTCGATGATTATACCCCGGCATTAAAAAATGCTGCTAGGGCGATTAGAAGGATTCAATTGCTAGTGGCTAGAAGGAAATTTAAAGAGGCTCTAAGGCCGTATGATGTTAAGGATGTGATTGAACAATATGCTGCTGGACATGTGGATTTACAAGCGAGGGTTAAACACGTACAACAAAGGTGAAATGAAATTATGATAATCATAGTTTACTAATCCCTAGTAACTATGGAAGGGAGTTGGAAATCGAAGGAAGGGAGTTGTAAATCTTTTGCAACTGTATGAAAGAGGAGATTTTGAGGCCCAATATCAGTCATTTTTGCGATTCGAACATATCTCTTCCATAAAAATTTTGCCACCTGAAAAAAGGAACTGAGAAGGTGCGCAATCTTGCAAAAATTTTAGCTCGCGTCTGCGCCTCTATCTTAAAGCCGAAGGGGGGTATTTCGAAAAATCCTAATTTATTTTGTTCCCCATTTAATTCTCTATTATTTGATTGAATTTTGACATTATTTGATTGAGTTTTAACAAAGTTATGATAAAAAAGGTGCGGGCAAAGACTTTCTAGTCACCCTGTAGAGTGCATTGTTCAACCTATATGACTATTACTTTCGGCAAAGTCAAAGAATATTTATAATGCAAATTATAATTTTAAATATTAAGCAAATTATAGTCTTCAGATTTTAAGATTTAAGAATATTTTTTTGATAATTTTACAGGCTCGACCAGATTATGGGAAGCAAGCCTAGCAAGGAGGACCTTAAAACATCTCTGGCTAATCGAGTAATGAAAATGGAGAGACAAGTTGAAAAGATTGGTTAGTAAATTTAATAATTTAATTTACTTAATATACAAAATATAATTTTTATTTAATTTTAAATTTTTCTTGTGTTGTTAGTTTGAAACTCTCCATTCATCATGGATATTTTTGTAAGGGAATTTTAATTCCCTAAGTAATAGAGCTTTCAGAGACCTATCATCATAAATAGTAGTGACCGGTAAAATCGATTTTTCCGGAACCGGATCCGGATTCCGGATTTGCAACTTGAGCCGGACCGGATCCGGCCGGATTTTTCCGGATAAATCCGGTCCGGTTTTAATCCGGTAAAAATTATTTCCGGAGTCCGGCAGAAATTATCCGGATTCCGGACCGGATTTTGGATTTTTTTGAATTTTTCAAAAAAAATTTTCTATGACATTTTAGCGTTAAAATTTTGTAAGATGTGTGTCGTTTGTGTGTTAAAATGCTGTTAGGGGGATATCTAAGGATTTTGGAGGCTATGAAGGATATTTTGTGGATCTTTCGAGGTTAAAAGTTTGGAAAATAAAGTAATTCATGGTTGGAATTTTGAAATTTGCTCCTACCTTCGTACAGCCTATCTATACCTCGTACTCGTACCTGCCAATTTTTGAGCATTTTGGAGTCCAAGGAGCAATATTTCCTCCAAGGATCCTCTTAATCCCAAATCCCTTCCATGCGCCGCAGGCGAAAATGTTGAGAATTTTGAGGTCCTTAAGTCAGATTTCTTCCTTTTGCGCCGCAGGCGAAAATTTTGAAAATTTTTGAAGGCTATGAAGCCAGATTTCTTCCATTTTTCACCGCCGGAGGCGAAAATTTCGAGAATTTTGGAAGGCCTCAATAGAAAAAATTCTATTGTTAGGGCCGCAGGCAAAATTTTTTGAAGTTTAGATGGCCATGAAGCTTAGACTCTCCATACCAACCCTATTTTCGGCCTAGTACTGAAACTCAGTTGAGGTATATACAAGGGGAACTCAGTCGTGCCTTCCGGGTACGATTTTTGGAAGGCCAATAAAGAAGAATGCATCCCTTTTCAGCGCCGCAGGCGAAATTTTTTGAATTTCAGTATAGTTAGGGGTCAAAAATCCTCCTTTTTTATAAAAAATACAAGAAAAAATGGGAAAATTCCAGAACCGTATAAAATCCCAAATCCGGTGCTCAAAATTTGCCGGACCCGGATCCGGATTCCGGATTTGCAACTAGAGCCGGACCGGATCCGGCCGGATTTCTCCGGATTAATCCGGTCCGGTTTTAATCCGGAAATTTCAAAAAAACCCGGATTTGGGACCCGGACTCCGGAAAAATCCGGCCGGATCCGGTCCGGCCCCGGTCACTAATAAATAGGTTCCACGCAATTGACAAAACGATTTCGCAACTGCAATTCGCAGAAAGACTGACCGCATTGCGTTATTTACGTTAAATTTTGGCAGATATATGTCGGCGGCCAAATTACATTTCAGGACAAATTCAAATTGGCCGGCCAAATTGAATTTGTCCTAAAATGTAATTTGGCCGCCGACATATATAAACCCGACCCAAGTATAGAATCGTGTTTAAACTTTGGATTTTAATTCTAATCTTTATGCAACTTGGAAGTCGAAAATCAGAATTTCAACCTAAATTAAAAAAATTTACACTTATTATCTTTTTCAACTTAAATTAATGATCAAATTTAAGAAAACTAAATATAAATATTACAAAAATTTTGTAAGATCATTAGTATGTATTAATAAAATAAATTTTAAGACAAGAAATTGGATTTGTTGGTGGAAATGTTTTTGGAGGAGAAAAGGATACGTTTGGTCGACAAAGGTATTAAAACCGGTGGTGGTTTTGGTGGGCATTCTACCGGAAATTCAAATAATGCTACTGGACATCGTTCTATAAGTCTTCGACAGGCATTCTCTCCCCCTTCCAGAGGATATCAGTAAGTGAAATTTTATTAAAGATAGAGTCGGAGTCTTAAAATATGATTTCACAGTTTAAAAAAAGGCTATGGTCAAGGGAGGGTGTTTCTTTAGACAGATTTCCTGAACCAGAACAAGAGTTGTTTTTAAAATTTAGATTTATTAATTTTTCAAATATGTGACTGTGGCTAAAAAGGAGAAAGATATAAAAAGATTTTCTATTTTATATTTTTGGCTTGCCTAAGTAATCTTATAGCTAATCGAGTAAATACAGGGGGAATTATTTGAGGGAGAGGAATTATTCGAGTTTTGAAATTTGAACGTGGGGGAGGGGGATTATTGTTTCAACTCATCCGTAGTAGGGGAATTATTCGAGAGACGGGAATTATTTGAGGGAGAAGAATTAATAGAATAAATACGGTATCTGTTTTCAATTTTCGCATATTTTTTTGTTCTGAAAAGACTACCAGAACACTATAGAGATTTAAAATCAGAGTAATAAGGGAGGGTTAACTCCAATTTAGAGGGAGATGATTAAATCTTAAACTAAGCAACTTCTTAATTTCCCCCTTCAGACAAAAAAGCTCAGCTCCCGAATTTCAACCTCCTCGTCAGTCAATGTCATCAACACTTTTGCCTTGTTCCTCCTCCAGCGTCCCAAAAGTGCCAATATCTCCACATAAACAGCTCCAATTAAGTCAATCACTAAAATTACAACAACAACAATCTCAGAAGAAACAACAAAAAATTCCGACTTTGAGACAGTTGGACAAAGTTGGAACTCAAATACCTTCTTCATTGCCTATCAAAACTAACCAGAAATTAGAGACTTCAACAGCTAGGAAGGATAAAGACGAGGAAGAAGAGAATATTCATGGAGAGGATGAGCCTTTAATAAGAGGCTCAAAAAAGGGGATTGGACCTCCAGCTCCGAATGATTCTATTGTATAAACTAGAGAGCCTTATTATAGGTGTTCCAGGCTGAGATTTGAAAATTAAGATTAAAACTGTAAAAGTCAAGAAAATAGTCTTTAAAAGTCCTGGCTTAACATCACATTAACCATAGTCTGGTAGGAACCCAATATTAGCTTGCTGAACGATAACAGCTGTTTAGACATTTTCATGTTTATAAATAGGGCTCGGATTTATATTGAAATTAGTGTTGCCAAAATGGCCCGACTCGGACCGAAAGGACTCGTCCCGGCCCGACTCGATAAAGTTTGGCCCGAAAGTGACTATTACAAGCCCGGCTGATAAAAAAGCCCGAAAAAATGTTTCGACCGTCGGTTTATATTACTGTAAACAGAGTTGAGGCTAGTTACTATTAATTTTCTGCTCTAGCCCACGCACAGAGGATGTGGCGATGAAAAATTAGGTTCTCTAGTTCGGGCTAAAAACATTTTTCGGAAGATACAGGTAATAATTCCTAGTTAAATAATCTCACTGATTTTTTCTAATGCCGAAACTACCACCAAGATAATATCAATGTTCTTAGTGTTGCTGAAATATTTTATTTTTTTATTTAATGTTTTATCAGTGTTTTTTAAAAATATTTTAATAAATTTGTTTTTTGTTACTTTAATTTATTAAATAATAATGTCGGATCCTGTGCTTGGAAATTTTGATTTAGCCGTACACATACATTCTCTCCGAAAGCCTTTCCCCGTGGCCCTCCCCCAATCACCCCCCCCCCCTCGTTGGGGACCAATCCCTAGTATCCTCTGCGCGGTCCTAAATAACTCACTTTGCCCAACACACTCGCTCGCTAGAAATTCAACCTTTCCATAATAAAAAACTTTATTTTTAAAAGTTTTTTTAATTTTAAATTTTAATTTATTAATTTAAAACTTTAATTTTAAAAAATTCGATAGTCGTCGCGCATTTCTTAAGCATGCGCCTCTCGAGGCATCTATTTAAATTCATTCAATAAAAATTTTTTCTTGCCTTTAAAATTTTTTCCGACACCCACGAGTTTTGAAGAGAGGGAATTTAAAAAAGTCATATGTAAAGGGCAACACGTGCTTCCTGAGCAGCTAAAAGTCGTATTGGGGGGGGGGAGAGGGAAGAGAAGAGAGGGACTTTGAATGGTGGGGGGGGGGGGAGTGGAGGGAAGAGAAGAGAGGGAAGAGAAGAGAGGGACTTTGAATGGTGGGGGGGGGGGGGGGAGAAGGAGAAGGTGGGTGAAGGGAAGGGGGGAGTGGAGGGGGAGAGGGTGAAGTGAAGGCAATTCGATTGGGAGGGATTTTAAATAAGCGAGAGGGTCGTACATATACAATTGAACATTCTCTAATGAAGGCACTTTAAAAATTTTTTTAAAAATTCTTTAAATAAATTATCCTCTATAAAAATTATTTCTCTTAATAAAAGTTTTTAAAAAATTTTTATTTAATTTAATAAAGACTTTGTTGAATTAGGGAAAACTAGGCAATTTATAGGTAACAAGGAATAAATCAGCAGTAATAGATTATACATTTAAAGTATTTAGTGATATGATATTAGGAGTGATAATAGATCGGAAAAGTCGGAATTCTATAAAGGATTTCCAGAAATCACAATAAAAGATACCAAAAATTGTGTTCCGATTAACAATGATTAAGATAGCTTTTATAGAAAATAAATATTTTGTTTAGGTTATAGGCCCATGAAAGTTTATAAGAATTCTTATAAAGTTAATATTATTTTTTCTTTTTTGGGTTTTCAAAATATGCGCTAGTCTTCATAATATTTTCGAGGAAAGGCCTAATGCCAAACATAAATTTGTATGGCTAGTCTGATGGCTTTCTGAAAATTTTAAAAATTTCCTATGATTATATAAAATAAATAGAACAAAATAGTGAATCTCTGGACAACTGGCTACAAGTCACTCCTCAAAAAATTTTTAGGCGCATAGCCTCAAATTGAAAATTAAAAGAAAATACACAACTTTATGAGAACTAATACTTTAAATAATTTTAAAATTCAAGAAAAAGTCTAAAATTCCTCAAAAAAGCATGAAGATTAAATTCTTTGTGCTGCTGTTTATAGCTATATTTATTCCTTTGAACATTGTGGCTCGTAGATATGGTTATGATAGTGAAGATGTTTCCTTTGAGGAAAGACCATCTAAAAGCCGCAAAGTAAATTACCGTCATAATTATAGTGAAGAATATGAAGAACATTATTATTATGAAGATGAGGAACCAGAGAAACCGGAACCGAAGGCAGAAGAGCCTAAACCTGAGCCGACTGAGAAATGGACTCTTGGTATGGATTTAAAAATATACCCTTATAATAGGGTTGCCCTTGATTTTCTAAAATGCCGAAAAAAGTGGCAACCCAAGAAGGGTCTTGATTCAATTATCAATCCCAAATTCTTGGAAGGTCTCAGTCGCAAAAATTTTATATGTAGTTGTTTATACACTTGATTCATTCGGTTTACCAAACCAATTTTATACCAAAAATATACAAAAATATACACCAGATAATCTAAGTTAAATTAATTTCACTCGAGTTTTTTTTCAAAAAAATCTTCAAAAATTCTGAAAAATTTATTTGGCCAGATCTGGATATGACATATCCTACCATACCCTCTTTATCCGTATATATCTCAGAAATCTTGAATTTTTTATAATACGCTGAAACATGTCTAACGAGATACGAATCAAGCTTTTGAATGGTATTTAGATTATGAATGACATGCGTGTTAACTATGATTTACATTTAAAACAGCGAGAACTTTTGGGACACAGTAGTAGTGATGCTCGGGTATCACGACTCCCCACTCGGGAAAATTTCCCGAGTTTTTGACCTCCCGATCACGATTCCCGTTTTCCGCGGGTTTTTTTTCTCCCGAGCTGCACTACACAGTAGTATCAAGGACCCAGCCGATCATACTCTTGAAATGGGCAATTTATTTTTATGCCGCCTTTATATGGCTTATTAATCTTAATACTATTTAGATGATCTGAAAGTAAAGTTCTTTGTAAAAAAAGAAACGTTTGTTCCTGATGTTGTAGACTTTATAAAAATTTTCAATGAAAGAATTCAAAAAAGTACTGCAATTGAAGCTCCACACGCAATCTTCAACAAATTGCCCAAGCCCAACGAGTCAAAAACAATAAAGGCATGGTTAGATGCAAAAACTGTGAACAAATGGGAGGATCAGCCTGAAGTATCTTCTGCATTTGAGAAGATCAGGGGAGAAATGGAAAAAGTATATAACGTGTCCAAATGGGAAAAGCCTATTAAAATAAAAGAAAAGGAAAAAGGTGTTTAACTTCATTAGTTTTATCCACTTGAATATTAACTATAAAGCCTATATTTCTGATCGACCACTGTAATTCTAGTATTGACTAGGAGTGACCTCGTGTCCAGACAATGCGTCAGTGGACAATCGGTCAGTATTGATATAAAGTGATTAAAAGTTGGATGTAAAGAGATAAAAAATGATATAAAAAGACTAAAGATGGGATATAAACAGATTAGGAGTATTTAAAAAGGGATTATGGGGTTTAAAAGAGATATAGAGGGATTTGATGGGATTAAGGCCGATATCTCGGGTTTGGGAGGATTAACAAAGATATTAAGTTATTTAGTTGGATTAAGATGGAGATCAGCCGATTTGGAGGGATATCAGTGAATTTTTATCTCTTTATATCATCTCTTTTAATCACTTTATATCAATACTGACCGATTGTCCACTGACGCATTGTCCGGGAGCCGAGTGACCCGGGATTTTATAAAAAGAAAACAAGGAAAAAATTGGGGGTGCCTTATAATTTTGAAACACACCATACAGCTAGCTTTAATTATTAACATAGATGTTATGGTTGGATGTATATAGACGAGTAATATAGTGTTAGGGAGCCGATATTTCTGATCGGCTTCACAGGGTACACCCCAACGTACCGCGCCCAACGTACCGCAGCCCAACGTACCGCGGCCCAACGTACCGCACGCCCAACGTACCGCAAATTGATACATGAATAATAGTTGTTCCAACAACAACTACAACAAAAATATTTGTTATATTGATGGGGAGAGTTGACCCAATGACTTGGGAAACATGTTCCGACAATGGGGGAAGTTGTCCTGTCAACGGGGGCAGTTGGTCCGTCAACGGGGGAAGTTGTCCTGTCAGCGGGAGAAGATGTTTCAATGACGGGGGAAGTTGTTTCGTCAAAGTGGGAAGTTGTTCCAATGACGGGGGAAGTTGTTTCGTCAAAGGGGGAAGTTGTTCTGTCAACATGGTAAGTTGTTCCAAGAATGGAGAATTTTGCTTCAATAACGGGGGATTAGTTCAACAGCCAAGGAAGAATTCCAAAAAAAAATAAAATTTTGTTCGCGTTACGTTGGGCCTGCGGTACGTTGGGCCGCGGTACGTTGGGCTCGCGGTACGTTGGGCCTGCGGTACGTTGGGCTGCGGTACGTTGGGCGCGGTACGTTGGGCTGCGGTACGTTGGGCTTTGGTACATTGGCCTGCTCCCGGCTTCACAATAGAATCCGGGATCCGCATCATTCTATAGATCCGGGCCCAAGTGTTAACTAAACAAACCATCAAAGTTTATTCGAACCTGTGACCTTCTGAATTCCTTATAGATCATCATCTCGTCATTACCCTTTTTGTTTTATCCGCTAAGCGGATAGATTATCTGAGGCTTCACAATATGTAGAAGCCGGATCATTACTTACAACATAACGATCTATTTTCATTTAGTCCAACAAAAACAGCTCTGGCACAAAGCATTATTTTTAATTGATGCTCTTTTTCAACTTTATGACAAGGTTTTGACTGACTTAATCTCGCTGGTTGATAAAAACAATGGACAAGTTATCAGTGAGATTTGTGGGGATAAAATCAAAGATTTAGACGAGGAAAAGGACTGCTCAAAAGGACTAGAAGAACTTAAAAATATGAACACGAAAAATATTGAAAGTGTTGATCACTTTTATGAACTTCATGACAATTTTGG